ACAATTGATGTAAACAAAGTTACATACATTTAGAATTACATATATACAATTGTATGTGCGATACATCAGCACATTTCTACACTACAGTTCTACAAAAGATTCAAGCATGTGCTTTCAGATTTCATATGAAGACTCAAAACAGTCAATAATCATTGCTACTCTGTGTTCAAACAAAGGAGACATAATTCTGTGCAAATCATCTGTCTGCCCAGAGTTGAAAGCTTCAGAGAGTCAATGTGTTTTTAACATTTCAAAACACATCCTCATGTTAGCAGACAGATTACACTTTCACATGTGACCAACAATTCCTCAACAAATATAAAATATCATAATCAAATATGATCAAAATATTCATCTGACGGTGGTGACAAAAACCTGAATCATTTTAACTATCAAAACCATTGAATCAATCAATTACTGTATTAAAACAAACAACAAACAGTGAGTATGTTATTGTTTGTAAAGCTTTTATTCAAGGTTCACATTTAAGTATTTTGGTATATCATTGGAACACAAATTATCTATTTTCTCTCATAGAGATCAAGCTGTTTTTAACATTTCAAAACACATTCTCATGTTAGCAGACAGATTACACTTTCACATGTGACCAACAATTCCTCAACAAATGAAAAATATCAATCAAATATGATCAAAATATTCATCTGACGGTGGTGACAAAAACAGACATTTTCTCTCATCTCAGAACAGTATATGTCTGCTGTGCATCTACTATAGTAACACAGTAACTTTTCAAATATAACTTTTAAAAACAGTTATATGAACACATAAATCAATTAGTTGTTACCTCTATCCATTTACATTCACCAGGATCTTAATATTCACATTTAAACATCTTAACAAATGATCCAAAAATGATCAGAACACACGATACCCCTAAACCACAAAAATATGATGACTTCATGTTGATTGTCAAACTCCATCATTGGCCAATCTTGAAACCTTACGAAACACACGTGTCCTTGAAAAACAAAAAACAACTTGCTTTGATATGAGATATTAAGTCTTGCTTTTAATAAAAACAAGCTCTTTTGTATCATTAAAAAACATTTTCATATTTTATAGCATATGAATTATTTAAATGTATCTGTGTTGTTTCAAGGGGAAAAGCATGAACTGTTTATTAATTCCATTTTACAGATTAGACAATCAAGACTTCACAATATTATTTCTGCAGCATGAGAAACACAACGGCTATTCAAACTGGGAATAAACAGCGTAAAGAAACACAGCACTCCAAGACTTCAGTCTCAAACTGAGTTCTGCATTTTCTCTGTGATTGGTTATAATGCACAGCACTGCAGACTTCGCTCAAAAAAAATTTTGATGCAATGTAATAAAGCAAATCAAACATAAATGAAATGCCGAGATAGACCCTTTTAATTCATTTCACTTTACACATTTCACATGACAGCTTCTTATACCACTATTTCAAAATATCACCTAAATGAAGTCAAATGTATTCTTGTGGAGTCGTTCAGATGTCACACACAGTGTTCAGCTAATAAAGATCCTCAGTGCAGACCAACAGCAGAATTTGCAGATTTGGCTTCAATTGTCTGAAGGTCTTTATGTTCTCCGTTCTTAAATTTCCAGGTACTAATGAGAAACCCCATTAGACGATTCAGTACATGCAGGGAACTGAACAAATCATTCAAAGTGATTCGACCCAGATAAAAGAGCGCACTTGGAATAAATTACGTTTGATGAGGATTTGTTGAGGACGCAGCATCAGATCTGAAAGTGCTGGATCTGAAGATGATCTACTTACTGTGAATGTGTTTTGTATGTCTGTGTAGAGAAGATGCATGACTGAAACACTTCCCACATGCAGTGCAGTGATACGGTTTCTCTCCAGTGTGGATCCTCTCGTGTGCTTTCAGATGTGATGACTGATTGAATCTCTTGTCACAGTGTGAACACTTATACGGTTTTTCTCCAGTATGAATCCTCTCGTGCTGTTTTAAACACTGCGCTGTAGTAAAAGTCTTTTCACACTCAAAGCACATGTACTCTCTCACAGCAGCATGTATTTTCTGATGTACTTTCAAATATTGTAAACATGAAAAACTCTTTCCACAGAAATGACATGAATGTGGCTTCTCCTTTGTATGAACTTTCAGGTGATTCTTCAGGTCTGAAGCCCACAAAAATGTTTTGCTGCACTGATCACATGTGTGCAGTTTCTCTCTAGTGTGGATGTTCATGTGTTCCTTAAGGTTTGATGATTGTGAGAAACTCCTCCCGCACTGATCACATGTGAACGGTTTCTCTCCAGTGTGAACTCTCATGTGAACATCAAGAGTATGTTTGTATGTGAAACTCTTTCCACACTGAGTGCAGGTGAAATATTTATTGGCTCTTTTTTTATTTAAATCTTTCTGTTTGGGTTTTTCTCCACTTTTGACATGATTTTTCGCCTCAACTTCACTCAATTCTTCTTTCTCCTCATTATCTTCCTTCAACTCTGCAACAAAAGTAAAAACAGTAAATCTTCATTAACTTGTTAAACAATGAGCCCTGATATAACAGCGGAAAATAGACAATTGTATTACAAACTTTTGATCAATTTGATGTAATTTTATAAATTATACGTCCCTGAAACTTTCCATGAACGAGGTACACTGCTTTTCAAATTATTAGTTTTCAATCAACACAAACCCAGCACACCTGAAAAAACGATCGGTGCGTAGGAAAATCAAATTTTCCAAAATATAAAAAGACGCAATCCCGCACACTATCAGTAC